TCCCAGTAAGAGACCTTGGTCGGGCAATAGCCAATACCGTGCCAAAGTGTGCAACCAGTGAGTCGCGACACCGCTTTTTCTTCTGCTGCCGGAAGATCCTCTCCTGGAAATCACTGAGGCTTCAAAGCACTTCGACTGTGGGTGTTCCGGCTGAGGTTTCTGGCTAGCTAACTGCAGAACATGCGGGTTAAAGACGAGGGCTTAGGGAACTTCAGAGCAGCGTTAACTCTGGAACCTGGGCGCTGGCTTGGGTGGCCTCCGACAACGAAACTGTGGGTGCGAAGATGAAGCCCAAAGCATAACTCGTACAGCCACAGACCTGAAGCGAAGCCGAAGCAATCCTGCCGCCTGCCACCCCTTAGTTCGAAGAATCTTCATGCTCAGCAGTGGCGGAAGTGGCGCCTTCTCCTCGTTCCGGAAGCTCACCGGTATGCTACCGAATACCCGGGCCAGTCGCCCTGACCAAAAGCGGAGGGCAGTGAACGATGTTCCGTGTTGGCACATGCTGGCACCTAGCCTCTGGGAAGGAAGCGCATCGAATTCCGCGCAGCATCCTGCAGAGGAGCTGCAAAAACCCTCTATCCAAGCCACCGATTCCCAGAGAGAATACTCAAGTGGATTCGTACGCCACAGCTCGATGGGGGAAGAAACCATGGCCACTACAAGACAAGGACGCAAGATGCCACATAAACGGCTGATCCTCGTCTGCCCTCCTGGCCTCAAATGCACAAAACGCACAAGGTCGTGTCATGAGAGCGCTTCTGTGATTGCCAGGGGGGAGCCTGCGGTGCCGGGAGCCTGGCCTGTCCCTGGATCGTGAATTCCAAGTCCATGTCCCATCGGCTTCACGAGGATTCAATCATCCCTACGGGCCGTACAGCTGAAAAATGAAACACATCGCAACTACAAAGGCTGACAGGCCGGAGTGCCTGTCTTCACTCTTCACTCTTCACGAATCATGTGACCAACAGTCTGCTTTCTTAAACAATGTGCTTCTTGTCAATCTGTCATGATGCTGCTTACTGTAGTACTAGCTGCGGCGAAACACCTTTCCAGAGGAAAGGCACCAGCGCAAGAACAGAACAAGTGTCACTTTGCAAGCTTTGCCAGACTGCCACCGCGACGTCTGCACGGGTCCTTCCAGCTTCAGCCCACGGAACCATTTGTCCTCCGAGTACCAAAGTAAGAGCGGCAAAGCAGTGTTGCACACGTGCCTCTTCGACCTCTGCTGCCGGTTTGTTTACGCAGGTTGCGGTTGGCAGTCCAGCCTTGACTATCGATCCCAGACGGAAGCAGTGAGAATCGCCTTGCATGGTACCAGGATGCAAGACATGCAAGACATGCAACAACACGCGCCTCTGAAAGTACCTTCCTATAACTTCTTGTTACATGAGATGGTCAAATCAACTCTCCCCTGCTGACGTAAAGATGGGTCCGAAGTCCGAAGGGGCTTGGACAGCACGGCCATTTGCAGGAACTTGTGGCTCGAAAACAGCGTGTCTCGACATGTGTCCGGCCCTTCCCTCTTAGAGCCACAGGCAGCTCAACTTTGACCGTGTGTGCTGTGATGTGCTGTGATAGGCCGCGTCTTGGGGTGCCGTTGCAGGTCTCGGGCAAGTCCCAACCGGTCGTGTGGCTATCAGTAGTTCTGGCCGGGGATACTCAATGGGAAAGACGTAGCCAACGTGCCCCGCCTCCCGGCCATATCAAGCCGCACACAACCCTGGAAAAGAACACCTGGCTGGCAGCAATAGAGCTGTTGTGCAGAAAACGCTTCTCAGGTCAGGTGTCCTTGTCGGAAGACAGCAAATTCTTGAAAATGGCACCAATCCGAGTAATACGCTATGTGCTACAACTACGGCTTGGCGCAGAGGCACCAAGAGTGACGATCACTTGTGCGCAATCTACTCGATGGTTCTATCACTTTGTTCTGAACCTCAAGCACCTGCCTTTGCCAGTGTCAATATTCACGTCAAGCACATACAGGGTGGCCGCTGGACATGACACCCGAGGCATGATGCCTACTCTTAACCAGGGCGCATCGGTGTTACATGAAGCCCCATGCATCCCTGACCACGAAGGCTCCACGCGCCTTCTTGGCAAAGATCCCGAGAAACATCGAAGCGGAACCTGCAGATTCACAGAATACGGCATGCAACAAGAAAGCCACAATCTGTCCACTGTCCACTGGTCCACTGAGAGGACTCCAGTGCGCACATTCTTCACATCGAAAGACGATGGAGAACATTCCCGAGAAATTTGTTCGTGTGGATTGGGTGGAGTGGGGCAAGCGGGTCGTAAGGAACGAGGGGAGCGGACCGGAGCCTCGGGGCAGTGGGACCGGGGGGGGGGGGGGAGTATCTTCCAGCCCGAAATTAAAATCAACAACAGGAACAAGGTGACAAACAATACTGATGAAGAAACGATGACGCGGAAGAAGAGGGAGGGGGGGAAGATTGCCATGCTGTCCAAGATCCATGGGTTGGCTCCCCAAATGGGAAGAGGGGGGGCCTCCCCCAATAGTGGCAATGAAAGAGGCGCCCAGCCCATCATGGTGTGGGCTTGGGGGGCCCAAATACTTATTCCATTCGTCCTTGTGAAAGGGGGACTTGAAGGAGCGGTTCCAACATAACAGGAACAAATATCATGATACATTACAGATGATGAAATAGATCAGAAGAGGAGGTGACTGGCACGAATGGGATGCACCAGTTGATGTTCATCAGCACATCAGTCCACCAAAATGCACACACACCGGTTATTAGAATACACGTCAAAACAGACCTGAATGTGGACGCTGCGCGTTGCCCGCAATGAGTCAAAGCTCAAGACTCACGATGCCTGAGGGACGCGGATGTTTTCGGACAATACGTTGCCGCCCAAGTGTGATTCCCAATGTGGAAGCTCCCCGGTGCGTGTTCCCCAAGGCGATGCGAGATAAGCCGAACAATGAAAACCCACTGCACAGTGGCGACCTTCGATGTCTAGCTTTATGGAAGAACCTCATGTGTCACTAGAACAACGTCTGCTTCTTGCACGTTTTCATAGAAAACAAAGTCTAGGGCAAACATCTGTCTCCAGCCATTTGCAACAGAATAACGGCCTCCATTTGCAAAAGAAGAGGGGTTGGGAAAAGGGGCCCCATTTGCAAACAAAATGATCCGAGTATGAGTGCGCGATTACGCATTTTGGGTTGCAACCCTCAGCCAGTTGCAGCAGAATAATGCAGACATGCCCTTGGATTCTTTTAAAAAGGGTTGCGCGGGGTCGTGAATTCCCTGGCTGGGGGGGGGGGGCACAGCCCAACCCCCCCCCCCCCCCCCCCCCCGATTTCGCGTTTTGGGTTGCAGGCCAAGTAAGGTGCAGACAAAAAGAACATCCGAACGCAGCCCAGTCCGCGCTGCGGTAGCGTCTGCTTTGGTAGTAGAGGACCGTGAAGCAAGCAGGAGCATCAATGGCACGCAAGAAAGTGAGCATCAGCGCGCCCTTCGGTCGACTCAATGAAACACGCTACAGTAATTGTCGGTGCATGCGGTTTCTGGCCCAGGGCCAGGGTGTGGGGGGAGCGGCAGGGATCTTCCCGAAACGGTGAGAAAAAAAAACTGCCACATGCCCCCGATTCTTGACCGTTCCAACCATCGCCCAAGAAGTGTGGCGATGGGTCAGACGGCGCTCAGAAGGGTCAACATGTTACATGGGGCCACAGCCCGTTCATCCATTAACAACGAGGCGCCGAAAGGTCACAGTAACCCCTGCCAGATCAGGCACCTCTCGCTCCCCATATCATCCAGCAGGAAGATCTTCGACATCCCTGGTTGCACCTTTGCCACAAGCCACACAGGATTCGGCAGGGAGACTTGCACTATCTTGCACTGGCTATGTCGGCTATGTCACGAAACGAAGCCCTGCCCAGACCAATGCCAGCCCCGTAGAACAACCGCAAATGCGTGGAATGCGGGTCCGCACAAGATTTCCCCGCACAAGATTTCGAACTTCGACCGTCGGGCCGCAGCCTCCTCCGAGAAGTACAGGTGAACGAGCATCCTTCACACGACACCCTGCTTGACTTCAACTTCGCAGACCCGGAGACTCGAAGACTGAAGAGACTCGAAGACTGAAGAGACTCGGAGACTGAAGAGACTCGGAGACTCGGAGACTCAGAGAGTGCCTGTCGATGACCAGCTTGGAGACTGACATGTCCGGCCACGTCCAGACTATGCCTCACAGCGAGAGCCCGCAGGATGACCCCTCTTCGAAAAGTGCCCCTCCCTTCGCTGGCTTAGGTCCCTTAGGTCCATGCTTGGTGCAACCTGATCCTCTGGGCGCGTCGTGAACACGAACCAGAAGGGCCTGTCATGTCCATGGACGGCCTGAGGCTCTTCTTGGCTCTCACAAAAGACGACTGAGATCACAGCTGATCAAAATGGCGCACGACTCCAGCTGGCAAGGTGAGGTTGTACCTCGAGAGGTCTGCAGCCCCAAAACGACTGTACTCCATATCAAGCCGCTCTCTATTGCGTGCTCGCGGGACATTGGCTTGCCCGAGTGTCTGACGAAGTTCCCGGCCGCAGCGGCCGCAGCGGCAAGAGCACGATCTGCCCACAACAAAGGACATCCCTAAAGTGTTAGAAAAAGCCGTACAAGCACATGCTACACACTCCACACTCGAGCGAGGCCTGGTGCCCCAGAAATACCACCCGCGAAGGATCCGAGACTTTTAGATGCTGCCTTGGGTGATGTGGCATGGGGTTCAGCATTCAGGTCAGTTTGACACAACGGGAGCGAAATCGTTCTTGAGACTTCGGCTCATCTGGAGTTTGGGAGGCCGGATTGATCTGCCGAAGCTCTGCCTTCAAGCCAAGCAGCATGCAGAATAGGCAGAGAGGCGCATGTACGAATACCTTCCCTCGCTATCACTGAGTCAAATTGAAGCCAACATGTTTCCTGCATGCATCACTTGCTGGGAAAAAAATCATGGTCTTGCACGGAAGTGTAAGCGTGCAGCCTCCAAGTCACTGTTGGGATCCGCGAGCACCGCAACGCCTGAGACTCACCCATACCGTATATGGGTAGGTCAGTAAGCAATGCAGTACATTGCCCATGCGCTCCACGCTCCAACCACCATGTCTGCTCCAGGAAACCCGATGCGAAACCCAGCTACTGCTGCACTGTCCTGCTGTCGCAAGCAGCTCCGCGTGCGCATACTCTCTGCGCAGATCTGCCTTCGAACTGCAGCATCACTGAAGTGCTCGCGGCAGCCTCCTGCACTGCAAACATTTGCAAATGGAAGCTCCTTGGACCACGTCATACCACGTCCACATAACGCCTCCTGGGTTTTGAACTGTATGACTGTACGCGGCGCTCCTTGAAGCCTTCGTTGGAGGCGATGGTCACCTTCAAAATCGAAGCATGAGAGCGAACTAGACTGTCAACCACGACTACGTTTGGCCACACATCTAGGTGTCTCAAGCCTTCACCTGCAGGGACATATCTCACGCCTGCCCTTGTTAATGCTTTGGGCAGACCAGTCCACAAAATTTGACCCTGTGCATCCCAACAAATGCCTGCGGCGGCGGCAGTCGTGTGAAGAATCTTAGGGCCTGTGCGCGGCGACGTTGCAAGCTTTGCAGCTCTCGAAAACAGGATACCTTTTCCAGAATGAGTCCAGCAGAACCTCTGAACGAGATGGGAAGCTGATCATGTTCAAGGGCCAATCTCGGCCATACATGTGAAGGTATCAGTGTGTAAGATGTGGGTATCGTTTCGCACAAATAACACAACCATGGAAGCTTTGCTCTGTCGCTCACATACAGTACGATTGTAGCGTAGCGACGGATACAGGATAGCTCGGACCTGTCGCCATTACAAATCCGAGGGCATGTGAAAGCACTGGGATCCACATACTATCCACATTCATGCTGCAAGCTCGACTCACGTGCCAGTGTGAGCGGCGAAGCCTTACATCCCATACTTTTTCTTTGCAGGTGTCATCAAGTCAATAAAGTGATACTCGGGGGGGGGGGGGGGGGGGGGGGGGCTTTCCTGTGGTGTTGCTAATTTGCGATTCCATCATGTCGTCTCTCTCGCTGTTGTTGCATCCAGCTGCCCAGCTGCTCTCGGATCTGCATACGTAGCTCGGCAGTCTGATGACCCCTTCATCTGGCATTTCGCCAGCTTGGATCATTTTGTCATGGAGTTCCTTCCTCAAGTTCTCGATCATCTCATCGTTTCTGCCATTCTCGCTGCATTTGCCTCTAAAAGCCCACCGGCTTCCCACATCACCTGTCGGCACTCGCCCAAAGACACCAAGAATCTCCTGTGTTCTTGTTTTGCGACAGATTCTCGAGTCGACAAACCGAAATGGCTTCTTTCAAACAAAACCATGCGCTTCAAGGAACATCGTCTATATGAAGTAGGGCTTTTGCGCTCGTGTCACTTTAAAGACACAAAACAATACATGCGTATGTATATATCCGCCGACCCCAGCGGTAGCAGGGCGGCGTCAGTGAAGACCCCCCACCGCCCTCACCGCCCTCACCCGCTCTCACAGCATGCTGCTCATGACACCTTGAATTGGAGTGGTTTTGCATTGTTTGGCTTCAGTGCATGCCCAAACCCCGCCACCCATCGCCCTCACCCATGACGCCTTGAATTGGACCTTTGACCCCCCCCTCCACCCCCATTCAGGTGGTTTAAAGGGTCCAGTGACCACCCCCCCCCCCCCCCCGGCCCCCCCCCCCCCCACCCCTCCCCCCCACCCTCCTCCAGACCTCGCCCCTACCCCTACTCCACCCCTGACCAATCTCTAGTGTTTTAAGGAAACCCGCCCTGACCGCCCTCACCGCCCTCACCGCTCTCACCGCCCTCCCCCACCCCATCCCTTCCCTCACCCCCCCCCCCCCCCCACCCCCCCTCCCCCACCCCCCCCCCACCCCACCCCCCGCCACACCCCACCCGTAGGCCTCGCCCCCCCTGCTCCGCCCCTGACCAATCTCTAGTGTTTTAAGGATTCCAGTCCATGCCCGCCCTGACCGCCCTCACCGCTCTCAATCACTCCCCCTCCCTATGCCCCAGTCCACCCCTCCCTGACACCAACCCTTTACCCTCAACCCCCACCCGCCGCCTCGACTCTGAAACCCCACCCCCCCCCACCCCCCCCATCCCTTCCCTCCTAGGCCCCTACCCCCTACTCCGCCCCTGACAAATCTCTAGTTTGAGGGATTCCAATCCACGCCCGCCCTAACCGCCTCCCCGCTCTCATCACTCCCCTGCCTTCCGCCCCCAACTCCACCAACCCTCGACCGTCACCTCCCCTGTCCGCCCGCCGCGCTCCACCCTGCCTTCCCCCCCAACCCTCTCACCAGAGCTGGTCAAATGAGTCAGGCCCCCCTTTCCGCCAGCCGCCCCCACCCTCTCCCACTCCCACTCCCTAACCCTCCCACCAACCCTCCCCAGCCCTCATCATTACCCCCTCCCACCATCGTGCACCATCCGACCGCCCCCCCGCTCTCACCGCTCTCATCGCTTCTTCATCTCTATGCCCCCCAGTCCACCCCTGCCTTCCGCCCCCAACTCCCTAATCCGACACCAACCCTCTACCGTCACCCCACCGCCGCCCCCCTTTCCACCCCCACCCACCCCCACCCCCCCCGCCCCCGCCCCCCCCGCCTGCCCGCGCTCCACCCTGCCTTCCGCCCCAATGCGACTGTCTTGGGTCTGGGGTCGGCGGCACTGGCGGTAGCCATTAAATATATATATATATATATATATATATATATATATATGGATGTATGTATGTATGTATGTATGTATGTATGTGATATGTATATGTATATGTGTTTGTATATATGTGTATATATATATATAGAAAAAACATATACCCCCGCCCCATGTCTCCACACCCTCCGCTTCAGGCAACTCGTCTGCATCGTCAACTGGCAGCTGTATGCACTTCGGAAGCTGCTCTACAACCAAATTTGCAGACTGAATTTGTTAACTCACTCGAAACCAAAACCAAGAAACAAACAACCGAAAGCAAAAAAACACAATACAAAAGTGCAGGAATCATTTCTTGGAAACCCAAATGACAGCCTATAGCCTGGCACATAAGCCCAAGAAGCAAGCCATCCGACAGACGTGAAGCCCGTGGAGGGTGAAGCTCGCTCTCTCTCTCTCTCTCTCTCTCTCTCTCTCTCTCTCTCTCCCCCACGCATGACCCCCCCGAAAGGAGGCCGCCCCCAGGGGCGCGTGCTGTCTTGGGTTCGTTGGAAAGGCTTTCCCTCCCGTATTGAGAGGTCGCCTGTCTCTCTCTCTCTCTCTCTCTCTCTCTCTCTCTCTCATAAGAGCCCCCAAACTGTAAAAATTTCCCAAAAAAAGCTGCATCTTGGTCTCACTCGCATTTCACGAATGAAGCTGAAACCTCCTTGCTCAAACCCCAAAATGTCGGGTCCTAGGTCCGAGCTGCTGGAACCTGACCTCGAAACTCCCCCACAAATTGGGGCTCCGCGCAGCCCCAGCAAAGCGGTTGGGTTCTGGCCAAGTGGCCTGTGCAGGAAGGTTTGCCCAACCGACTTAGCAACAGTTACCACTGTATCTTTCGTACCCCGAAGCCCCCTTGCGTTAAAATCACTAGCACAGGCTGCTGCTATGGGGATGCGGATGACCCGAAGAACGCGGCCACTGACCGTTCTGCCGTCAGGATGCCAAGCGACGCCAGCACAAGAATTGGGGGGGTCAGCAGGAATTAGAGGTGGAACCTTCTCTAGTCTATCAACGGCCGAAGTGGCTGTTTGGCCGCCTTGGCTTGGCTGCCCCAAGCTGGATCGATTTGGATCAGCCAAAAAATCAGCTCTGGAATAGACTACACGAACTTTGGTGGGATCGAACACCTGCAAAAGGGTGGGGGATCTGTGAGACGTGCTTAAAGGTGCCGTGGTTTCCAGAGCCCCAGGCCAGGTCGGCGAGTCCGGGGCCGACTTGGAGGGTGTAGAGCTCGCCGGGAAACAGCGCCGGATCCTGGCTGGAGAAAGGTGCCTTTGGAGGGTTTTGGCTTCAAGGTGTAGTGTCAGGGTTCGCAGAGATTTTCCCGGCTAAGTGCCTTTCTCCTCGGCGGTTGTTCATATTCAGCGTGTTGCAGGGTTTTGGAGGGGCTTAAGATGGTTTTAGGGCTTGGGCGCCCAGGATCCAGGCCAGCCCACGGTCAGCTATGGAGTAGACTACACGAACTTTGGTGGGATCAAACACGTGCAAAAGGGTGGGGGATCTGTGAGACGTGCTTAAAGGTTCCGTGGTCAACCCGACCTTGCACCTCGTGCGGTGGCTTTGTCTGAGCTCCAGGCGACCAGCAGGACTGCGTCCTGTCCGGCTTGGGACCAGTTTGGGGAGGGGGGATGCGCGGGGATAGTTTTCTGCAGGGGTTGGGGGTTCTGGCAGGAGTTGCTTCCAGTGGCTGAAGCCTAACCGTACCTGGCAGGCTACCACGAGCCTTCAGCCGCGGTCAACTCGGCGAAATTGCATGGCTACACAAACGGAGAAGGGCCTCCTCCACAGCCCCCACCATGGCTGGAACCTTGACAGGATCTTAAACCACCTCCGACCAATGATTGAAAACTGCTTCATGTGCAGGATGCTGAAAGGGCTCGTGTCACGCCTGCTCCACTGACAGCGCCTCCTGTGCCCCAAGAGAACACACAGGCAGGTTCACCGTCTCATGAGGGCAGGAAAATGCTCTAATCCCGGGGTCAATGGCAAGAGGGCTGGAGGTGAATAATGCCGTGCAATTCTGACGCTGACCGTGCTTCCACAGCCTTCTCCAGTGGCTCTGCTGACAGCATCGCTGCATTTCCTGAAGCTCTGCAACTGCCTACTTGGTACTCTTATAGTACATGTCCTTTAACTGGTTTCTGAAGTGAGCCCTGCGCGTCCGAGGATCTGCACCTGGCGAGGCACAATCTGAAGGGACCAGCAGCTCCTAATTTGGCAATGCACGCTTTGATGCTTGACCAGCTTGTTGGCAAACGCATTGAGTGCATGTCCGAAGACAGAATCGAAGGAAGCAGCGCTCACACACTTCTTTGTGCTTTTGGATGTACTGCGTAACATGGTCACGGTCACAGATAAACACGCTGTCCTACAATAACCCCTCTGGGCTGCCTCCCCTCTCCCTTGAACCACCCCCCCAACCCCCCCCCCCACCCCCAACCCTGTAGGAACCCCAGATCTGCAAGCAATTTCAAAGGGTTTGGCCCAGGCCGCCGGCTCCCGGAAGTAGAAGCGGAACCGGGCACCAGGGGGCACTGCGGGCAGCGGAGCCTGGTTTGGGTTTACGGTTTTCCGGAGGCTTTTGAAACTTTCGATGGTGTTTCGGATGCCTTCGGATGGCTTAGGGGGGGTGCGGGGGGGGGGGGGGGCAAAAGCTCGTAAAGGCTTTTTGGATCCAAAAACGGTTTTGAACAGTTTTGCCTGTGCCGGGCCCCAGCCCGTGCTGCATCCCTCTGGGAGCCCCCACATCATCGGCCAGCCTCAGCGCCAGAGACACCGGGTCGGTGCGGCTTGGCTAGCGTGAAGCTTCTTAAAAGCCTAACCCAGCACGTCCTATGCAGAGCGTCCACAAACCCCTGTTGATTCGAAGCTAGCTTCCCTTGCGGTGCCGAAGTATATCTCGACATTCTGAGTTGGTCTTGCCCTTGCCGAAGTATCTCTTGACACTCTGAGCCTTGCCAAGCGGCCCCCACTTCTCCGCCTCGCCAACGATCTGCTTCTGCAAGCGGTACCAAACAGCACAGCCTGGCGCACGTCTTTGCAGGAAAAAGCAGCACGCTGCCAGCCACCACAAGAATGAAACCGAAGAGAAGGGCTCTCACTTATGCACGGCAGCCTGCCCACTCTTCAGACTCGGGCAGAGACATGTTCGAGCAATCCTCGGCCAGGCAATTTCCTGGTGTTCACTGAAGTGCCTGGCCGTGTCCTGCCTAGACTCCTAGACCTGCCTTGGTCTGCCTCAGTCTGGGGGCAGCTGCCACCTCCACCGCCACAAGCTCGGGCGGTGAACGATCGAAAACGGCCTCCAATCGGCTGTGATGTCAGCTACAGCTACAGACAAGACTGTATCATGCAATGGTGCCACAGATGGCTCAACAGCTTGATGAGCATGCTGCAGCTGTTAGATCCCCTCTGCACAATCTCGCTGGCACGATGCAAGTCATCTTCATGTCTATACAACGCTTTTAATCGATCACGTGCGGCCGCCCGAAATAAGGCATCAACAGCCACATCAGCAGCCAGAACTTTCATGCAAGGTCAGCAGCGCAAGTTGCTCCAGTTGCAGTGACTGGGAGCATGGGGGGGTCTCCAAAGATCACGTCGAGTCATGGGCTGGCCACAGATGATGCTATTCAAAGAGCTCCAGTAGGACATGGCATGATCTCAGAAGGCCACCACCATCTTCAATATCGACCGCGCCAGTCGCTGACAACACGGGAAATACGGGTCCCCAACAGCTTCCAAAACGGCTGCTTCGTCGCTGGACTGCCCGTGGCAAGGGCTATAGACGAGCAGGGTAAGCCCATTCTACACAGGGTTGCCTTCGTGAGGTCATACCAATCGGCCTCTGGATTCCTCGGATGCGAGTGAAAAGGCTCTTGGGAAAGGGTGTCGGGGGAAGAACTTCTGAGCTGAGGCTTCCGAGCTGCAACTCCTGGGCTTTCCGCACCGCGCATTCCACTTCATATCCCCTCATCTGAAGCTCCCTCTCTTGCAGCGCGAGCTTTACGGCCTCAGAGATACGGCCATCCCTACGCCCAGCCCCATCATGTCAACTCTGTAGTAGCCTCATGCAAAAGTAGCCCCTGAAGAGACACCGAGCTTGCCAAGACGCACGAACAGCTTTCTGACCAGCCGGATTTCCTTTGAAGTCGGCTGTTCCAGAGCAGACAATTTCCTGCCACGGCACACTTTCAAGCTCGAACAAAGGCAACTATGACTGGAAAGACTTGCTGAGGGCCTTCGCATCTGACACAATGGTTTGTGAATGCTTGCGACGCAATAAACAATTCCTTGAAGCCCGGAGTTCTGAGGCTGGTTTAGCGCTATTTAGCGCGAACCGAGCGCTGTCCCACCTGGACAAACTGGAGGACTGGAAGGCCTTTGGAGGGCCGTTGTAAAGGGTGTCTCCTGCAAGCCTTGCTTGCACTGTTCAGATTCGCCGTTCTTTATGGCTTTTGGTTTGCAAGTTTATGGCCCCCTCTGCCGCTGCTGCGGCTGCCCCTGCAGAAATCAGCGTGCCACAGATACGGCCGCAGATGCTGCCTTTTCAACTGCGACTACTCTCCTATGATGCATCGACTGGCACCCCGCCTGGCCGTCCTTGTCGTAAAAGTCTGCCTTCTGGAAGATGATGCACAGTTGCCCAGATTCCCCTTCGGCACGGACGATGCCTTTGCTCGTGATCTTCACTTTGCCAGGGAACGGCTTCTCGAGCTCAAGAATGAAACGCTGCCGGTCCTCCGCGGTTACAGTAAAATCGGTTTCAACCTTGTAGTCTTGGTCAGAGTCTGAGAGGTCGGTTTTCTTCGCCCTGCTGCCATTGCGATGAAGTTTCGCCGTGCCACCCAAAGATTGCTTGGTGGCATGTTCGACCTTGCGTGTGTCCCGGCCTGCAGCCTTCTTCTGCTCAGGCGATCTGGCAGCTGCTGTGTTTACCTTATGCTCGAGAATGCCCTTCGAGCGCGCCTGGTCCACGAATTCCTCCCAATTATCGGGGCGATCGTCAAGTCCTTGCTTTTTCCAGAAATCCGGATGATTCGGATTGGCCTCATTTGCACGCAAGTTGTTCAGATCGTAGGTGCCGTAGTAAGCCATCGCCACAGCAATCTTCTTACCTGCAGGGTGATGAAATTAAACATAATTAAACCCAAAATTCGAGGAGGCCCAGAGTCTATGTCTTACAAGATCTCGGATCTCGGGAACAAACTACTTGTTTTCCACCGGTTACCACACACGGCTCTGTTCCGATCAGGGTCCGGTACACATCAGTATGGTAGCGCATCCCTAACACGCTGCAGCGCAAGCCCTTGTTTGCGGCCCGCCTCCACCGCGCGTGCGCCATGCAACGCCTGCTGCGAAAGATGTGGAGATCCTTGACTTGCACGGGGCTGACAGTGACAAACCATCAAGCCCAGGCATCCAACAGAGCTGGCAGCCTGCCAAGGCCAGAAGGAGCCTCGAGCTTCGAGACCTTTGTCCGCAAAGCCACTTCTTCAGCATCCTCGCAGAGTCGTGGGTCAAGTTCCGGTCGCAGCCGCCGCCCGCAAGCAAGCTTCAGGTGCATGAAGGCATCCAGGCGTCCATCCCAAGGCATGAGAAAGAATGGAATGTTGTGATGAGGGTGGCTGTCATGGGATGTTTAACTGCGGGCCTTTAGTGACAGCAAATGTCCACGCACTATCACCATTCGGCTCTCTTTGCTACGGTTCTGATTCCTCTGCTGATTCTGCGGCAAGAGGTCTGCAAGAGGTCTGCAAGAGGTCTGCAAGAGGTCTCGAGGCCCCTCAAAGCCATCGCAGCGCAACCACGCGAAGCTCCGCCTGTGGGTGGACAGAGAAGGTGTAAAGGAAGTGGCCAGCAGCTGTTGCGCCTCAAGTGGACTCTGCATCGTATCCTGTGCAAGCTTCCCCTCCATTCTGTTCATTTTGCGCAGAGGTCTCGGGAGTTCTGAGTCACCGGCGCAAGCCCTCAAAATTGGAAAGGACGCTGCTCTGGATCGACACCTTTGAGCTGAGGAACCAAAAGCTCTGCCCATACTCTGATGGCCTCAATCTTTGCCATTCGATACTCCTGGTGTGGACGACATCAAAAGTATCTCTGCGATCTTTGGTGATGGGTTCAGGCCTGTCCGCAACGATAGTGCTGCAGTTTTGCTATGGCCTTCGACGTTCTACATAGGATTGCACTCCCGGCATCTGAGGCCACCGCGTTGTAGGAATATCCTGGCATGAGATCGTGAGGTGGGTTGATGATGACCTGGCGCAATGAATGTCAAACTACTCACAAGACATTGCGTGCAATGCAAAGGGCAAAGGCCAGCAGAAAAGCGCATGGTAGGCACCTTGTCTCCGACAAAGAGCATGTCCTGGCAAAGTACGCATGTCAATTCAAACTCATGTACATACTCATGTCACGCTCTTCGACTTCTGGCGAGAACACAGGATGTGCTTTCTGAATGGAGAAATGACAGGTAGGTCTCCTTGTGCTCGAACGTCTGCTTAAGTGGACAAACATCCTGCGCAGTCCAATTGAAGCCTTGGTTACCAAAGCAGTCTTGCGTAGAAAACATTACGTCAGCCCAACCGGTGAGTTAGCCGTTCCGCACCATACTCCGCAAGAAGTCATTGAAACCCAAAGGACAAAAGTGCAGAGAAGGCAAACCACCGCTGGATTTGGAATCGGCTAAGTCCCAGCAAAGCTCCACGACATTTGCCAATGGATGAGGGCTGACCTTGATTGACACATGCACGTCTAACTCGTGATCTGACTCATTGTGTGACTGCCTCAGACTTGGGAAACAAATCACTCGGGCTCCTGCTGCAGACATGAACTGCAGGACAAGGTTCTCATGCCTTGACAAAGCTCCATGGCCCTTCATCAATCAAACGCTTCAACAGAACAACGGAATGAGCTGAACACCATCCCAGTGCCCAAACCCTCATCGATAGCCCAACAAACCCGACAACCTCAAGCCAGGCCGCCCAAAGATGGTTTGCTCTGGAGCGGGGTAGAGGGCCCAAGTCAGCTCAGGCGGTCGTGGAGCCTGCCGAGACTTGTCTGTTGGCCCAATCCTTCCAACATCGCTGGCATGGGAACGGCCTGAACTCCTCCCTGTGCTGGCACCTGGCGCGCCGCTGTCACTGCGGTTCGCTATAAGGATGCTGTCTGCTGTCCTGCTGTTTGTTCGACATGGTTGGACCATGCCGCAAACAACGCGCATGTTCGTAACTAGATTCAGCTCCATATCTACACCCCTACATAGTCCGCCGAGGCCTTGGGCCGTAGGTGTATGGGTAGCACAAAGCCGGCACCCCACCTCTAATCCCCTCCCCAACGCTGCGAGACCACTTGCTCACGTGTGCGGAAGACGACCGTGCATCAGGACCGGGGGGCAGTTTGGGCTGGGCCACAGGCGCCCCACCACCCCCCACTCCCCCCCCCACCCCCACCCCCCACCAGAAATGACGTCCGTACAGGTGCTGTGGTTGCGGACTACATGCTCAGGGGGCTGCGCTGGGCCAGGCCGAGGCGGGTAGCGTAGCGTTAAAATTTTATAGATAGACGGATAGCTAGATCCGAAACCTGTGTTCGTTCGCGGAGGCAAGGCTGCGCCAAGAGGTGTCCAAGCCCAATTGCTATCAGGAGGGTGGTAATGTTGTGGACACTAGCAGCATGTACAAGTTACATCGGTAGATAATACTAGACACGGGACCTTTCTGTCCTGTGAAGCAGCCGGATTACAAAATACACTCCGTGCAACAGATTCGGTTTCGCAGGGTCTGCTACTGGCTATCTGCCACCAGCAGCGCGAGAGTAAATGAGTAAAGAAGAAGCGCCGTTATCTGTATCATCGACATTGCTAGTATTGGTAGCACAACTCATGTTCTTGGTGGATGGATGGGTCACAAGGACCTGTGGATTTCCCAAGAATCTCAATGGAGGCGATCGGGAGATAATTTGGGCATCTATGGGTTACTTCGGTTTTGGCAAACCAAGCTTTGGAAGATCGGAAGCTTGGTAAAGTCAAAGTTCTTCGTGCCTTTCAAGGTGAAGACAAGGCGTCTCAGCACAACATTCAAGAAAGGTTTAAATCGAGTGTAAAGGGTTTATGTGAACCTCTTAAACAGCATGCCTTGCACTTTGTAAAGCTCGGCTGTCTGAAGTGTCCTGGGGCAATTCTTTCGGTCTGTAAGTTTAGTCATGAAGGTGTTGCTGGCGTACCCGTTGCCATCATGCCAATCGTTAGCGGCCTACTTTGAAACTTTTATGGTGCTTTTGGTTCTTCATGTAAGCAAGCGAGAACATTTGCTCTAAAAGCCAACGAATCTCCTGGAGCTTAGAAGATAGTGTGGAAATTCATCCAGCCAGTACAAGATTGCTGGGATGCTGGCTCGAACGATGTAGTCGTCCAGCCCGAATACAGGCCCGTCTGGGCACTGCCCCCGGAACTGAGCAGGTTAAGATAGACATCCGCTGCCCGACTCTGGATATGAAGCTTCGTCTCCCTCGGGCGCCATTGGGTTTAGATGTGTTTGCTCAGTGCGGTGCACAAGCGACCCGGTGCACCCATTCTCCAGGTGCCTCGCGCAACGCCGCACGCAGCCATGCATGCACTCCAGCCATGCGCGAAGGCATCTCAGAGCAGAACGTGAGGGCTGTTCCTGCCTCGTACTCCTTGGAACTGTGGACCATGTTGCCACGAGTGTCCTCGTTCGAGCACTAGTCTGCATTCTTTGGGCTGGCCCTGGCTCCGTTTTGGCCCTGTGCAGCACTTTGTCCTGGAGTGACCCGGGGCCGAAGACCACCTCGTAGCTGGCACCTTGCGGATGCAGGCTTACCCCTGAGGATTTGGCGATTTCCCAATTTTTCGAAAACACACGGCCCATCAGATGCTTAAAGATTAAAGTTGAAGGATGCTTAGGGTTTGGGTGTGATCAAGGTTGAACACTCTTTTTCCTTGCTGTGCGCAGCATTCCTTGGCCCCCTTGGCAGAAGGCCAGTGGAGGCTGTAGCAGCGGGCGTAGCCACATGGTGAGTGGTTCAGCTTGCATCCTTCCGTACTGGCATCGGAGTTCAAGTCCCGGACGCGCGTTGCGCAAGCCGATCAAAAAACAACAAAGAGCAAATGATCACGATGGCCTTGGACGCCATTGGCATGAGAGCTTCGCACACAACAGAACACTCAAAGAAATCACAGTGCTCGAAATGGCAGCAGCGTGATGCCACACAACCTCAAGGTTTGTACCGCACTCTGCCGCCTGTAACAGAACTTCATATAATCCCTTACGGAGCACAAAGCTTCCTCGTCCACCATACTCCTGTTGCTTCACGTCTTCATGCCGTGGCCTTCTGCAGTTGTATTTCTGGCTTTCGCGAACAATGCCCGATTGATGCTTTGCCGAGCACAGGGCTCCCAACCCCAAGCCCTTGAGCTTGAGGCTCGAGTGATTCTCAACACATTCTCAACACAACTTTTCGGACATTCTCTACGGAAGAACGGAACGGAAACGGAACGGACTCGAAGGCTGGGTCCAAGCCACACAAGCTTCATCCTGCCCGCCCTTGTGGCGCTTTCAGTGTCACGTACTGCGTGCTGAGGCAGAGGATGAGGTCTAGGCCCATCTCCAGACTGACGTCAGGACGGACAACCACCTCGGGCTGACAATGAGGAGAGGCTGAGACAATCAAGCGACAGCTCGTGCATAGAATCATAGAAGCCCTCAAACCCAATTCCGTCTAAGCGGGCCAAAATCTGGTTTAGCTCCGGGCCATGCCAGGCAAGTGCGAAGGGAAAAGGACCTCCGGCTCCATATCCACGACCTTGGCCGGACCTGCTCCAACGATCTCTGCAAAACAGTGGTCCGTCTCCACTTCGCATCTCACATATCTCACAACTAGTTCTCCATACGCTCCGGTCACATGCCTCGCTCTTGGTCTGGTAGTCGAACTACAGAGAGCGGCCCGGGGCCACGAAGTACCACCTACGACGCCGCAGAGGCCCAACACCAAGTGCTTAAATGGCGGTAGGGTGTGGCACGAGGGCTCACTTGGTGACCTAGTATCAGACCAACACCAAAACTGCCATGCTTCCGTGGCTCCTCATCGAAGAGGAAGCGGAAGTCTCTCATCAAGGTCAAGGCTCCGCTGATCCTTGCAGTGTCTTGCAGTACATCCGCTAAAAGGTTTGGTATTTCACCTTTGCACCGATCTTCGATCAGTGCTTGCTTTGCACCTTGCTGTGCCTTGAACGGTTTGGGGCTCTTTCCCTCTCCCTCCGTGAACCGCGCGAGGCAGAAAGGCACCGCGACTTGAGCAACATGCCTTGGACCCCAGCGGATTAGTCGACGTCGCATCCAGAAGCCGCGGCCCGGACACGTCCTCGGTGGCCTCATCGGAGGGTACAGGTAGTTAATGGCAATTGGTGGATGCAACAAGCGCCAGGAGGGAACCACTTCCACAGGCTATTTGGACACTATGTTAAGCTTCGTGGCATTCTCAGGATCTTCAGTTCGTAGTCGCAATCCGCCGGCAGGAGCAATCTGCCAACAAGCCGACGCATCCAGTCACATCTCAAGACAACTCAGAGATTGAGCTTGTGCTTCCGCACAGGCATTTCAAGAAAAGCGCTCACCCTTTTTCCTCCATGGGTTATGCAAAGCGATGTGTCCCGAAACCGTCCGAAACCGTCTGACACCATCCGAAACCTTCCGAAACCTTCCGAAACCATCCGAAACCATCCGAAACCATCCGAAACCACCCGGGTCATCACGCCCTGCCGGTTAATTGAAGGATTGAGGGCGCTTGTATGGGCTTGTCCTGTGAGTATCAACGACAATGCCTCCGCAGCATATGCAGAGACTCTTACAGATGAAGTATAACAATATACGAGCAAAGCTTTGCATGTGCGCAGAAGCCGCAGAGGCTGCCACTACGATCTGCCGGAGCCGTGTTAGCTCTCGGTCAGCTGGCTGTCTGCTTGCTGCGCTTCGCAGGAGGTTCCGCATCATCCTGTGGCAAGACCCCATGGCTCGGCAATGACACGCGGACAACTTCATGCTAATGCCAATTCAGCCAAGTGTCGTGTGCTTGCGCCTGCAAGCATTGGACGTAGGTTTGCATGGTGCCTTGCATGCAAGAAAACGCGGCAACTCTTCCACCATGCTGTGCCCTAGAGTATCATATTATGCATCATCGGGGTCCAAGTTCATTCCTGTCTGCAGGCCAGGCACCCAGATCCCAGCGCATGCCCTCAATGAGGACTCCAAACATGCCTTCACACAGAAGGGGCAACCGCTGTGCACGTGGACGTGCGCACGTGGGCACCATCAGAGGATGCCTTCGGACTGTCGAAGTTGGTCCAAGGCCTGTGTGAAGTGTCCGGCCTGGCAAGTGACAGCTCCACCACGGATGTAAGGCAGAACCTCCTGCAGACCTCACAAGAACTCCTTTAAAGAGCCATCAATACAAACTCCTCCCGTGCCTTTGAGGATCGCAGAGCTCGAAAGATGCTGGGAGTCAAAATGTACTGCCCGAACGAGGTCAGGAAAAGGCCTGCACATAGCAGCGCCACAGCAAGTCCAACACTTCAGCGTTGGCTAGAGTGACTGCTGACTTTGGCGTATGGCCATTGCTTATTAAGGGCCTCTGCAGGTGCAAACTTGAGCTACTGAGGGAGCTTAGCTTAGTGCTCGTGTGAAGCAGCACAGGGAGTGCACAGGGTGCATACGGTGGATGAATCAGGCCGGAAGGGAGGGTATTTTTATCGCACATTGCAGTTTGCAACCAGAAAATTGGACCGCAGAGGTGCTAGGGCCTGCGAGGGCAGACCGCAAGCCTGTAGGGCTTTGGCGGTGGCTACCTTCTTCAAGACGTGAACAGTGTCACTTCTCGGGGTGGTTTAAAATTCGACACACGAACGCGCAACAACCCAAGCCATCTGCACTTCTAAGCAATATACACCAAAAGAAAAACGTGAACATCAAAACACGCTTTGAAAAAAATCCACCACCGGCGCCACCACAGCCGCCCACCCCACACACCCCCGCAAGTCCGGACAGTATGCGCCTGCCAGCGTTTACATGCTTTGCAAAAAGCCACCAAACGGTTCGCAAGCTTCCCTCGCCTTCAGGCAGCACCGGTGTCACCAAGTGCTCTTCTGCGAACTCCCTGTCGATTGACTTGAAGTGTGAAATCGCTCCCAACTGCTCCAAACAACTGTCGAAGTTTGCCATGCCTGGTCGGTTTTTCGGCTAAGCGAGCCAACCTTAGCAGTTGTTCGCAATCCCGCCGCAAAATCTGATGCTGAGGGCCCTAGCCAGGACGTTGCTTTCAGTGTGGGGTCCAGGTGTGGCCGGGTTTGCCCGTCTGCGATCATATGAAACAATGTCGCAGGGACTCGTCCAAACCTTTCTCACCAATAACCCGGATCACAGAATCTGTTGCAAGACCTGACATTCCCTCACTGAACAATACCCCCTCCAAACATCCTCCAAGCCACGGCCAGAGTGCCTTGGCCTTGGCAACTCCCGGCACGCTGGGGCCCAGTGGTGGGGGTAGAGGCGACGGCGGCTCCTCGTTGAGGGAGTAGTGGATTCAGGAGGCAAGCTGCACGGCTTACAACCAGAAACCTCCACTGACTCTCAAGTCCTTGCAGCTATAGACCCCGGTCTGATGGAGCCTGACTTCAATGGGAAGGAACAGGAAGGTCCCGCCATCAAGTAACATTCATTCCGGGCCGGCGACGAATCTTTGTCGACACAATGCATCGCAGCCTTTGATGGCAAGTGCAGAGAAATCATTGGCGTCTGGCAGCCAGAGTTGTCAAGTGCCAGACCAAAGGCCGTCCGTTGAAGGACTCTAGAAGCTGCGCCACCACGCTCCGATTCTCCTGCAGTCAAGCTGAATGCCACTCGATATACATTACAATACAACATGCTCTACTGAAATCGATCGAACCTAATCCCAAGAAGTCTCAGCGCCCAGCTGGCGATGTTGACCGACTGAAATGGTCACCCCAAGCCAGGAGAAAGGGCTCCCCTGCAACCTCGCCATTGAACAGAAGACTTCTTTTCTACTTGGACCCCCCATCCGAAAGCACAAGGGCTGCATATGTCTTGCTGTCACTGCCTTGTACTACGGTCGGTTTGCCACCAGTGCTGTAACCACCCAACTCATGCGAACCTCGCGTTCGCAGAGCAGCAGCGCGTCGCGGATGCTGGAGGGCTTATCCTCCACCAAAAGATCACCCTAACACTGAGAACGCTTGCTTGGCGACCTCGAGATCGCACCCCACCCCCCCCTCCTATCAGAACACTCTGGATGGCCTGCCGCACAAAGGCGATCTTCTTTCCTGCATGCGTATGCAATGCACATGAAACAAAGACGATACAGAAACCTCTATAGTGGCAACGTGACTGTGTAGCCTGGCCTATCGACAAGAGCACCTCATCATAGTCCTGGTGATCACATGCGGTCTAAGCCCCGAAAGCCGGCCCTAAACTCACAGCACTTGTCTAAGGTCAATCTGAACAGTCCTCCATATGCATGCCAACTCCATTCAGCACAGACACCTTGGCATCATGTAGACTTCACAACTCACCAAATAACACAGTTCGCTGATGCCGCTACTGCGAAACAATCCTCAGAAGAGAAATCATGTGGTGTTTTGTCGACCCTGTCACCAAGCCTCCTCTCGCTGCTTGAAGAGCTTTGTCATCTCCACTTCGGTTGTGTGATTCACCACCAAAAGGATCTTTTCCTCGGACGCCACAATGCACGCCACAATGTACAGCAACCGCTACGCAGCCATGATCCTGACTTCACACACACGACAGATGCAACAACTTCTGTACAGACGTGCAGCAACGTACCAGAACTTCCGTCCCAGCAGCAATTCCCGCTGCAGACATCTCCTCGCACAGCCTCGACTTTTTGTGATGGAGCAGAGTAGTCAAAGAGTAGTCAAAAAACAGTCAAAGCTTCACGGCCATGATTCCGAGGAGCCATGCAATGGCCGGTTTTACCAGGCCCCGGCTGCGCACAGGAAAGAGCCACCTTGGGAGATGGATGCTGAGAAGTCGAGCCGCGGCTTCAGAAATGCAGACCAGTGACGGCCCCAGGCACTTCGAAGCAGGCCAAATACCAGGGCAGGCACCTCAACAAGGACAGGGAGACAATGAATTACTCATCAGCTCGGCGGAGAAGCCATGAAAATTCCTCCAAAGGTCCTGAATGCAGTGCTGAGACAGGGAGCTTTGTCCCCTGATGCCCATGTTAGATGCAAAGGCGTGCCTGCAATGGGAACAATGGCCGTGCGGACAGCCTTCTGCCTCGCAGGGGAAGCAAGTGGGGGGGGCACCCAGAACTGTTCAAAAACACGACAGGCCTGATGACAGAGAAGTATTCTTGGAGGGTATGCCGTGGAACGAACGACTGCAGTATGCTTCTGGGGCGACGGCTCCGGGATGGTGAGCTTCAGAGGCTCCATGCTCAAAGACTTTACGATCTTCACGACTTCCTCCTGAATCCAAGATGCTTCTCCCTGGTATCTCGGGCCCAGTAAAGAGCGAGGGGTGCTGGAACAAGGCGGGGTAAGACGCCGAAAAGCTCAGGGCTCTGTAAAGCCAGAACTCCCCCGCCGCACCCTTACCATAACACCCAACCTCCAACATGTCGCCCCCACGCAAAACACCCCAAGCACAATCACCCCACCAGCAGGTCCAGCGACTTCCCGCACCCGCACCACACCATCCCCTTTACCTCCCCGCCCAACCGCCTCCCCGGCACCGCCACCGCCACCGCCACCGCCACCGCCACCGCCATCAGCACCAGCAATGCCCCTTCCACGCCGCCACCATCAGACTCAGACGAAGGTGTATGAGACAACTGGTCATCGACGACGACGACGACGACGACAGCGACGACAGCGAGCGACGACATCGACAACAGCGACGACAATGATGATGAGGAAGAAGATGGCGATCATGATGATGGTGATGGTGATGGCATTGGTGCTAACAGTGGTGATGGCATTGGTGGTGGCGATGATGAGGTGGATGCTTGTATACAAAACACAACGCGTGCTACTAATGGTGATAATGATTCTGTTGCTGATGATGACGAGGATGATGATGATGATGATGATGACGATGATGACGATGAAGACGATGATGATGGTGATGGTGATGATGGTGATGACGATGACGATGACGGTGATGGTGATGGTGATGATGGTTATGATGATGCTGATGATGATGATGACGATGATGGTGATGATGATGGCAGTGATGCTAAGGCATGAAAAACGTATGCAAACTTGGCAAGAAGGCATATCCCGATGCCAACGTTGAATCTCTGGTATCAACGATGACTATGCTGAACATCGTCACATTGAATGACTCGCTGCGTCTGTGACGATTGCCATGATGGTTCCGCATGCTTCTGGTCAGCAGATTCAGCAGCAGAATCGGAAACCGAGAAACCGGAAACCGCGGATTCGGGAAACCCCTGACTCGGGAAACTGGATCGCGCAGATTCGGAAGCACGTGATTCGGAAAACTAAAACACAAGGATTCGGGAAAGCACGGATCCTGAAAGCGCTGATTCTGAAAACTGGCAAGTGCGGATGAAAGTGAGTGGAAACCGCAGTCGACTATTTTCCTAACTGGCAAAGTCTCTTGCAGTTTCCTGAAGGCAATCAGTTTCCTCAATAGGTGGTTTCCTGAATCGCGTGGTTTCCCGAATCGCATGGTTTCGCGAATCACACAGTTTCCTGAATCGCGTGGTTTCCTGAGTCGCGCGGCAAAGGGGCGGAGGCGACAGAATCGACACTGAGGAGGTGCTGGCTGGGCACAGGATGGCAAAGGGCCATGTGGAAGCAGTGCGTCCGTAAGAGCAGAGGATGAAGAGCTACGCGTCAAGTTACAGGGTCCCAATATGTTCCAATCACACTTGATCTGCGTGGCCTGCCCTGTTCGGGCACCAAAAGCTCACAGAAGGTTCTTGACAGCAGGTTTCGGCGTTCTTCTGAAAGCGCTTGCCAGGCACTTCACGCTTCAAACCTTTTCAGATCGCTTGGGCTCCTGGTCGGCCTCCGAGCGACAAACCAGCTGCGCAGAGCCATCGCCCTGGGAGCCCACCTCGAGACGAAGAAATCTCTCAAAAACTTCAAAAACCCTTCCACTTGTGTGCGCACAGCCATGTGCCACTCATGTGCCCTTAGGGTCCTGCACCCTTGCCGCCAGTGACGTGCTTCTTCCTGGGACACGGGCTCCGTTGGTGCTGTTGGTGCTCCACGCGCTGGGCCCACTAGGCTCTACGATGCCAAGGGACAGCGACGGGTGTGTCAGTAGCCGATGCAGGCTGGGTGCCTGGAGTTGGAGAACAGAAGAGAGGGGGTCTAAGGGGAGAACTTCACTGGCGTTGGGGTTAGGAAAATATGCCTGGTCAGAAGTGTCAGAAGCTTAAGATGAGCGTTGTTGCTGCACTGGCATCATTCCCAAACCACGATACCCGAGATCTGGCCACTGGGGGGCAACTCTTTGCTATTGACAGGCCGGTAGTAGAAAGACACAGCACACTCATCTTCACACGTCTTCACACATCTTCACACATTCAAACATGGCGTTGCGCTCCGTCAGCTCGTGCGGGCAGAGTGGTACGGCGATCTCATCCCATCGCTCCTGGGCCTTCGTCATGGCCTTGCGACAAGATGGTCTGCTCAATCATGACAGGACATGGTAGCCGGATCCAGAGAACTTCCGTCATGGAAGCTGAAGTCAGTACGTGCCAGAACTCCTAGGGCCTCGCCAAGCTTTTCTGCTGCCACGCGCCCATCCTGGGCGGAGGCATCTTGGGCCGTCATTGGAGTCAAGCTTCCCGCGCAGGAATCCTCTGCCAGGGGCCTTCTCCTCAGCGAGGATCTGCTGTGCATCTTGGCCTGCAGCACAGAGGAGTCGTCCATAGCCGTCCTCATACTTCTAGTTACTTCTTGTAAAGTACTTCTTGTACACGACAGCCCTAGGCCCTCCAAGGAGCTGGCAGACACGTTGGTTGATCTCGCCAAGGAGGGCATGCAATGCCCTGTCCGAGTCGCCCCGAGGAAAAGGGTATGCCTTCTCAAAGAGCGAAGCACACAAGAAAAGTGTGCTGCAATGTGCTCTGGAACTGCTCCGACTGAGGATGGCAGAGGCAAAAAAACCACAAACTGGAATCGCGAAGAGAAAGCACATCTCTTCGATGCAGGAAATAAAAGCGAGGAAAACGACAGACCCATTGCCTCATTGAGGCACTTCAAGATCTCCTTGGTGTCCTCCAAGGTGGCTCATAGTGCACTGCAAGACATCAAGAGGTCAACCCGGCCACCACTCCTCCAACCTTCGACCGCATCAAGCAAACAACCAAGCAAGCAACGTTTAGGATTTTCATTGCTTGTGCTGGCTGGCATCCTTCTTTGCGCAGAGGTCAACCACTACCATGTAAATGGTGCTGGCGGCACGTACCTGCCAAAGCAAAGCATTGCAGAGCTCCATCTGGGACTCTTTGAGTCTCACAGCGCTACTCAGTAAGTCTACAAGATGCCCAATCGCTACTGCCACAGTACTGAAATATGGCACGGTAGTACTGATGGTGCCAACCAACAAGACCTCCGCAAGCACAGGGCACTGACTCAGTTGACAGCAGGTCGGAATCAAAGATCATCTTTGTCACCTTTCCATGTGCTACGCCAGGAACGGGGATGATGAAATGCACCCTGAATGCGCTTGCTACTGCTGTACCACGTGTGCAGCAAGCTATGGGAATCCATGCCAGGGCTCGAACTCTGCGACCGAACGCGACACATTGATCCAGGCGGCCACACCGTGACGGCGTATTGATCTCAGCAGCACAGTAATCGCCACGCGAATCCCTGCAACAACAACGTGTCCGGAGTGGCCAGGCCTCGCCGCGGTAAGCAATGTCCATCTCCCCATGCACAGTCAGCTTCAAATCCTGGCGGAAGACATGTGATGGACCCTGATCTTGCGGAGATCAAGGCGGCAACTCGAAAAAGCATCTGTTCGTCCAAAAAGTCAGCACTCTTGCATGGCTGGGGAGCTCACGTACAGCTGGTTGAGCGCCCGCACAATGAGGACGCAGATGGCGGCCGAAGATGAAAGGCCCTTCCTTGGCACAGCGGAGTTTCCGGGTAGAAGATGATCCCCGGGATGGGCTGGCTCGAACCACCTGTTCAGCACGAATGTGCACACGCCGCCCTAAGCCTGTTTCCTCCCACCTGTACCCCTTTTATGCAACTTAAAGGATATAACCTGCCCTCTACATTCATATGACTTCTGTGCAAGCCCAAGCTCTTGATCGGAAGGTCCGACTTGAAATTGACAATCTCCGCGCCACCGACTCGAAAATGCTTGCCCAATTCCAGGACACAGCCTAACAGGGCCTACCTTCACAAGACAGCCAGAGAGGCAGCCATCAAGCCATCAATGCTCACAGTTTCTGCAACGCTTGCAGTGGTAAACTGCCCGGAGTGCCGATTCCAGTTGTCACCATCTCCTTGATAGATCTTACCCGCCAATTCCGCAACTGTTTGCTCTGTTTGCTCCTTTCTGCCCACATACGGCCTGCTATGTAAGCGAAAGTCGATGGGGATTGCGCTGTTTCCTCAGTTCTGCAACATGAAGGTGCTGTTTAACCAAAACTGGAAACGAGGTTGCAGTGCACAGGATCGGGTGTGCTGTTACATTCAAATCGCGCTCTTAGAGAGGACGAGGACTGGGAGCCGCGGCAAGCAATCAAACGAGCAACCACATGTTTTTTGGAGTGGTCGTATACAATCTCCATGTGAGACAAATGCCATTACATAAACCTGCGGGGATACCTTGGACGTTGGAAGGTGGCTCCGGGTCTAACTACGAAGTTTCGGCTCTGCGAGGAAACGAAAAGCTCAAGCATTGGGCATTTTTACATGTTGTGAGAGGGCCCCTTGGACTTTGACCGGCAAGCACCTGCCGTATGCAGCTCTGTTCCACCAGGTTTTTCAGGGCGTGTTGTTGACCCCAAGGCATTGCAGCGTGCTCTAAGAGTCTGTAAGAGGGGAAACCCTGCACCCTGAACCTAAACCCTACACTGTGAACTCTAAACCCTGAACCCTTAAACCCACCATGAACCGCGGGCAAAGTGAAACTGTAAAGCTTAAGCCGAAGCCACAAACTCTAGACCTTAAACCCATGAAACCGGAAGAACCCTAAACCCAAAACTTGGGTGGCGGCCAGTGCCCGAGTGACCGTTTGCTCTGGTACTCTCTCTATCACTCTGTGAGGGCTGCCAGCATTGCCTAAGCAATGCAACGCAACGTTGAGCAGTATGCTGCACGTCACTTTGCTGAAGAGGGTCACGCAATGCCATCTCATCATCTAAGTCAAGCTGGATGCTGCTGCCGTCAAAAGACCGATACAGCCTGGTCAGAAACAGTCATGTATCCCCCTTGCACTTGCAGGTGTGTTGTGAGCCCCACGACGAAGGTCGGAAGACAAATGTGCGATTTGTACTGCAAGACTTTCCAGAATACCCCCAACGACTCCCACCAAGACTTGAGCAACAGCGGTACACCGCGTCAGCGAGACATTCCAGAGCGTCAGCCGCCCAAACGCTGAGCAGCTCGCAGCCGCCGACTGCCCTCGCCGAGCAGGCGGCGAGCACGGGCATACAGTCCTGCCGCACAGAGCAGCTCAGCGAAGAAGATCGGACCAGATTGGACATCTTAGGACATCTTCGGCAGTCAAGGAGGCGAGACAAGAAGAGGTGGCTACATGTGGGGATTCCTTGGTCCGTTCCACAGACCAGGGCGCAGCCCGGCACAACCTCTGAGTTGAAGCGCCGGTAGCCTCTCGTTCATGCTCCAACATCCACATTTCACTCCAACGAACCCCTTTGGCCTCCAGCCCAGTCACTGTGCTCCCCGAAAAGGCAGATTCTGCCCGTGACGAAGAGCTCGATGGTCCTTGGGACGTCGCCAGCGAATCCATTGCTGCAAATGTTGCACTCCGCAATTCCGCAGGGATGGAGGGGAGGCGCGGACGTTGTTCTCCGGAATATTTCGCAGGGTGGGGGAGGGGAGGGGTTTGCGGGGGGAAGGTTGGGGGCGGAGGTTGGGGCGGGGGTTGGGGGGAGGGTTGGGGGGGGGGACTGGGGAGTTGCGGGGAGGTAGGGATGATAACGTCCATTCCTACGGCGACAATACCCAAAAACACTGGTATTCGCAGCCAACATAATGGCAAGGATGTTTAGCGTTTCTGGAACAAGACGTGCTGTCGCAAGCATTCATGCCTGCTGTGAACATACCCAAAAGCACTGGCATTTACAGCATTCTTGCATCTTGGCAAAACATACTGCACAGGAAGCCTTAAACCTTAGAGAGGATGCGAACGTGACGGCAGCTTCTTTGGGGGCCATTTGCTGAAGAAAGAGTTGGAGCGAACTTGTAGCCAAACTATTTCTACACTCCCGTGCCTTTCCTAGTGCACGTCGAAAACATCGTAAATTCGCCTCGGCTTCCACCGAGAGGCGTCTAGAACAAGCAGCCCCCTCCTGGCTTGGAGGAGCCACAGACCGATCCGTTGGTTTGGAGTGCTGGGACACTCACCCGCTGGGACTCGCGCTTGGACTCGCCCTGGGACGCCCTCCTGGGACCTTCTGAAACCCTGACCTGGGACCCGGACCTGCAACCCTCGCTCACACATCCCCGGCTGCCGAGGCGGCGCGCGAAAGCGTTTACAATTACAGTGATTCAACTCCTGCCTCCAAAAGCACCTTTTTTGCACATACCGTTGACCAAGCCTGAACTCCTGTAAATTGCAGTATTTCCAGCTTCCGCGAAGAAGCTGGCACACCCAAACCACCAGGCAAACTATGAACAGGTGACCATTCCAGACACATGTCATGCATCTGCAGCTGCACATGGACTTCTGTCACCGAATGGAAGCTCTGTAAAGCACAACATGATTTGCTAGGTTCTCTGCGGTTCATCGCCGCTGTCGGCGACGTCCATTGGCTCAAGCCCAGGCTATGCTAACAAACTGTCTACCCGATGCTTCTGTCTGTCTCTCGTTCTCGCTCGTGCTCTGTATATCTTGCTCTTTCTCTCGGTCTGCCTGTCTTGCCCCAGTTCGTAGAATCCCGCCTATCACTTTGATTGGCATGTTCCAAGCTATGCCGTCAAATTAGCTGCAGGAGCTTGCAACATACTGCGTGCCGAAAGGCTGAGAAAGCTGTTGGCTTGCAGAGGCTGACTAGCATGCACGAAAAGACAAGCATCGCATCAACCCGCATGGTGATCTTCACTTGTCGCTGTGCGGCACAGAAAACTGAGTTGCACCCTGCCCCCACACCCCATGGCCGGGTATATCGTGGTGTTCTGGAAGAGCAGGCACTCGCCCTGTACACTGACCTCGTCGTCTGTTCATCACAACTCACCACAGGTCTTGCATACTCTCATACTCTCCGCACTCATCCAACACCAGCAGTGGGGTTGGCACCACTCTGCTGCAAGCTACCCCGACAAGTATCCAATCAATATATTGCCGGAGCACGTCGTACTCCGTGCCGGGGAGCAGCCTCGAGAGTGGCAAGAGGTTCTTGGTTACATGATGTCTCAGGCAAGTAAGCTACATACCACAGTGTCGTGCAAGCTCCTCACGATTCCTCCCGCAGGGCGTTTTATGTCCCGATCTCGCTTGTAACATCCATCTCAGGACTGCAGTTTTCGCTCTGAAAGAAGCACCGGTAGCAGCTCCCAAAACCTGCCTTAAGCTCTCCCAGCTGCAAGGACAATTGTTTCGAATGCTTTCTGGGCTCAGCTACCACCTTCTTACAACACAGGGGAGCGCCTGACCACTTCTAGGGGCATGTGCAACCAAAACGAACAGCTCCAAATCTACCACGGCAGGCCGCGACTCTCCCGGAGCCAGGGGTCCAGAGGTTAAGAAGAAGAGAGATCCTGTGCCACTGGTATACCGACCCTCATGCGATGATTATCACGCTCGGTCCGGCTCCGAAGAGTGACTGCAGCAATGCGTCGGAAGAAGGAACACATCGCACGGAGCATGGTAGAGCATGAGGACTGCGTGCTTCTCCGGGTTCTAGGCTGCTATGACCTGCGATGTGCTCCCGATAGGACCATTCACTTCGTCCCTCACCAGCTGTCGTCACAAAGCTGGGAGTTGCCCTGGTCCTGGCAGGAAGTCTTCAACTGATCATGGCGATAGCCAAGTTTAGACATTTCTAGACATGCTTCTCCGGAGATCACGAATGCAGCTCGCTTACTCCAGAAGAGCTGACGAAATCAAGCTTTCATAGGCTGGATAGACTCCAAGTGCAGGAAGTCCTTGGGCAAGAATCGGCCAGTGAAGTAGTAGTTCGAGTGGAGGAGCGGACCTTTTTGCGCATGGCGATGGTACGACGAACGGCAGGCCATGTCCATGAGCCCTACACATCCCTACACCCCACTCAGGAGCCCACCGAAGCTGATGATGAAGGTGCTCAAGATGAGCTGGCAGAGGATCGTAGCTCACAAAAAAGGCTCAGAGTTGCCCAAAAACTCTCCAACCTTTTGCAGCCCAGGTACCCCCCAAATCAGATACTCACCAATGGGACTGTGCATCCTGCACCTTGGCGTAAGCGTCACAAGCTCTTCAACCCTACGGATGAATACGGTATGAATACGGATTCAAAAGCTGCTGCACCCTCTGGCGAGTCCACTGCGATTGCAGCTAAGGCACATGTACTCCGCAAAGTCAAAGTGATCCTGCACCAAGTGTCCGAGCACCAACATTTCAAGCGTTTGCATGACTCCTTCGTAAGGGTACTTTGAGGACATTTATCGTCTTCTTGCATCACTGACATGTAGAGACTCGCACCGAAGTACAGCCTCCAAGTTGTGCCCCAAACGCGGCAGCGAGCGGGTGACGAAGCTTCGCGGAGCAACCAACGCCATCGGGGCCTCAGAATCCAAATCAACCGGTCTGACATGTCTGACAGCAGTAGCAAGTGGTCGGTGTATGCCTGCCGGTGTGCCTGGCCTGTTGAAGTTAGCTGACCTTTTTTGGGGAGCCGGGCACGCAGAGGCGTCGCGCGCAGTCCCGTGGCCGGACGGAGCCCGGCCTGGGCAATCCTGACAAGCAAAGGCAGGCGTGGGAATGGCAACTGCCTCGAGAGTGCCTAGGCGTGGCTTCAACGAATGCGAGAGTAAGATGCCATGTTCCCTTCGTTAAAACCCTCTGCGAACAGAAACTCTGAAACTTGCATCCACAAATGTGCACACACAGCAACTCTACTCAGACCTGTCTGCACAAGAGAACCCCAAGGCAAATCAAGACGTGGCTTCAACAAACAGTAAACACACATGAAATTAAACGCTTGCGCATGCACGTGCAAAGGATTGCAAAGGACTGGCCATGGCCCTCCTGGTGGCGCTTCGCAAGAGGCTCATGGCTTCTGCCTCGGAGAGTTGCGGGCAAATAGAGTGGACTACTGAGGCAGCTGTGAAATTGTTCGCATGCTTTCCGCAGGGTCTAACCGCAAGGCAAGATGCTTTGCACTTTCTGCGGGGGGCCGTCGTCGGAAAGCCGAGGGCTGCACACTGTGAGCCCAAATTGCAGCCGCGGGTTGCAGATGTGGCTGGAAGGAAGATGGGCTACTTCAAAAAAAGCAAGCGAGATCTCATGGCAAGTCATAACCTCCTACCCAAACAGACTGGGCCCCTGGGACCCACGCTCTCGAGTCGGTCGTATGGGCACCTGCAGCTTAAAGCCCGATGCTTGCTTGCCGATCGAGGGCCTAGGGGCCTAGGGGAGGAGATGCTTTCCAGGGCGCGACTACGACGCCCGGTCGAAGCATGTGCAGCTGCCGGCAGGGCATCTGCTCCTGCAGAACCCAACAAGCATTGAAAGCATTGAGAGGTTTGAATACGCAGAAGCAGAGTCTACTCTCGGACAAACCGGACACAACGAAGGGCATCCTTAAAGCGGCATGAGCATTATGCAAGTGATGCCTTCCGATGTATATTCGATCTTTGCAAGGCCGAAGAACGCTTGGCTAACTTTTAGTTGAAAGTGCACCCAACACAAGCCGACAAGCCCATCTTACAGCACATTGCGGCCTTCATGGCTTCGTGCTTCGTGATGCCTCAACACCAGCACAGGATCAGGCCTCATGCCCCATATCCGATCTCAGCATCAGGGTGCCATCGCCAAGCTGCGCAGGGCATGCATTGCAGTGCTAACAATCGCTGCGTATCAGCGCTTTCCACGCTCACACACTGAACATGGGCATGGCGAATAGAGATACCATACTCCTACGCTTTGGTTTTTGCCAGGAAGCAAACAAAGTTCGACAAATTACCCGTCAGGCAGCTTTAAGGCATTGAGGGCTTTCGGCTTGACAGGGTTTTCTTTCCAGTTCTTCGAGCGGGCTTGAGATGTGGAAGGTAGGCTAAAGAAGGTTCTGGGTCTCGCTGAATCTCGCTGCTTGTTGACATTGGGCCTTGGGGCAGCAAGCACAGCTACTGCAGCACTTGCTACGCATGTCGAACAAGGAATGGGCAATCCTCCCCAACTCCCAACGCAGCCTGCACTTCGACAGTCGTGTGGATGAGAAAGCCTCAGCAGGCTTGCCAGGCTTGCGGAGACGTAAAGCTGCAAAATGGGCTAGTACGTGTAGTGATTTGCCCAGGCACTGAAGTTTGTAACAGGCTTGATCCCGAGGAAGTAGGGGCCCTCCGCCACCCTGTCCTCAATCTCATCACCTGATGCCGAAATCTCCTTCCTCTATCTTCCTCTCACTTGTGTCTCTGACTCTTGGAAAAGACAAAGCACGAAATCGATCACAAGCGCTCTGACTCTCTGAAACTCTCTCTTTCTCTCTCTGTCTCTGGCTCACTTCTCGTTGGGGCGTAGGGGGCGAAACCTCTGCACCCCCGACTCAAGAAACTGGGGGTTTGTATCGCCCCCAAAGTGGTGGGCTGCAGGTTGATTCCCCCACGGTTGGGGCTTTCACAGATGGACGATAGTTTTGCTGTTGAGGAGTTACAACTGCATTCCCTAAGATAGACGCACGGGTACAAAAACCCTCAAGGCATCTAGGTTCGGGTCGGGCACTTCGGCCCTCGATCAACAACCCTTTCCCTCTCTTTCTGCCTTACTTGAAACCCCCAAAGCCTACCCACGCCCCCAAGCCTGTGTTGAGCATGAAATCCCCGAAACCTCCGCCGTAGGAATTAACTGCCGCTCCAGAATTTTGCGAAGTTGGTCTTCTCCTACATGCTTCGGGACATCTGCCCGCAAACCCAGTTCGGCTTGGGAGCTTGTCGCACCCACTGTCAACTCGTGTCCGTAGCGTGTGACCGGGATCACCATGAACCTGCAAAAGGCAGCAGAGGATGATGTCACGGGCCTTCAAACCACGTCTGGCTGTCAAGTTGCTGTTCGGCTACATACAAGGCCTGTCAGATCCTGCCGGCAACATCGTTGCGATGTGCACGCGGTACGAATCCTCGGCTCGCACAATATACGTGTAAAATTTCTGGTCCAAACGGGTCATAGTAGTAGTTTACAACGGCCATGTGACAGACGTTGCTGCCTGGCTGTGGTCCACTAAATGGCCTGGTTGGGCTGCTTAGGTTTGGACCACTCGGCAGCAAGAAGTCTCCTCCTGCAAATAACTACTCCCGAAGCCCCGTGCGAGTATCATAAGATGAGAGAGCTACACGTTACCTTGCACAAGTTGCAGACACTGGCGGAACGAAAGCTCCGTGCGCCTCCGGACGCTTGGGCACTGCAGCGACAGGGTGTGGCAGGAGTCGGCGACGCAGCTTGTCAACGACAAAAACCTGACTTGACAACTAAATTACAGTAAGTTGCACTGACGGTGCGTGTGAGACCTTGGGATTTCCACCGCAACAAACCGGGCTCGGCAGCCAAGGAACTCTGTACTCAATGATCGGATCCTGCCAGCACGTATCATGCATTGCAGCCCACGCGAGCTGAGAAAGCCACCAAAAGACCGGAACAAGCAGAAGCGGCTGCGAGAAAGCTTGTGTTTCCAGAAGCGCCATTCCCAGCCACCAAGCCCTGTCCTCATTGATCACAGTCCTGTTCCAGCTTCAAAACAACTGGTGCGTGTGGCAATTTCCGATGATGCGACGCCAAACACATACCCGTCATTGTCACAGGATTCCTACGACCCTCGACTTTGGAAGATGACCACCAATGTCTTCGTGCCACTTGCCAACTGGAGATGGTGTAACAGAAGTCGAGATGGCCGGACATGTTTTGTGCAAGCTCTATCTTCCAACGGTTGCTACACAACAGCGAGTTGCTTCTTCAAAGGTTACAATGGTACGGCGACCAACACAGCCCAGTGGCTCGACGGCGTTCTGGCCAAAGTACATGTCTGCAAGGAAGTATCCTTCACGCTCGTCCTGAAGAATGGAGGCTGCTCGTGCAGCATGCTGCAATTCTCATCGCCACGATGCAGGTGCTGGCGACGCTGAAGGCAAAGCGTTTGAAAACCCCGTCTGACCTGATCCTTCTCCAACCGCCCCACTCCACAGACGCGGCAACGCGTAGTGGGGAAAGGCTCGACAATGTCAGGGACATACGACCTGACCGGCAAGCAGTCTACCTTTCGCACTTAACATCAACGGAGACGAAATTTTTGTGGCATTACCAGAAGACCACAAGTGTTTCCATGGACAAACAGCAATAGTGATGGCCAGGTGCAGATCCACGTTGTCTCGTGGGCAGCTCAAGGAGAAGGAGGTTGTGTAGTCGACGCATGGATCTACCAATATGTCCGGAGAACACCATGCTCCTGTGCCCAGCGCAATCCGATCTGGGAAGTCAGCCAAGCTAAGCTCAAACAGCAAACACCTCCCGTTCCCCGTCCCCATCACAAAAATCCACCATTCTGGACACAAAGATTGCTGGGAATTTTGGGAGAACTCTCCCTGCTGGTCCTGGCATCATGTTCAAGCAGCCCGAAACTGCGTAGAGGGGACAAACCTTGATAACGGCCGTCTGTTCTCCCACGTCCTAGTATCGTCCGTCGGCCCCAACTTCAGAATCTAGAAGCAACAATCGAGCAACAGGCTGTGTAAGAACTGGCCGTAGGAACTCAACAAGAGAATGTGCGAAATCAAAATTGTCACAACGATCGCTTCACTACCATGCGACAAAAACAGTGTGAATGAGTTTCTTTACGACAAGTCACATTGCCACACGGCTGGAGCAAAACAGTAGTGGTTGTCAAGCTGGTGGACATACCTGACACCGCAGATCCAGCATTCAGGCACAAAATCGCAGCTATTGCATCCACAACCCTGATCAGCAGCTCATGACTCGAGGGTGAGGGCTGGCAGTTTGTGTGTTCTTCGCATGCTCAGTACGCCTTGTCATGCCTCCTTGTTCCAGGCCTGCCAGTTAAGAACCCTTGCACTTTCGCCCTCGCGGGGCCCTTGTGGGAGCTTGCGCGAGTTTTTCCACTTTGGCCAATCGTCAGCTGAAGAGTGGCGGGGGCTGTTGAACATAGGCGAGTCTGGCATCGGTTCTGAATGAAGGTTTGGAGCTTCGAATTCTTTGTCACGGGTATGAGGCTTGTATTGAGGGCTTAGGCTGTCAATATCCGCCAGCCGCCTCCGCCGAAACGACGTTGCAGCCATCATAGGACATGGGTTTATGGGTTTTGGGGGCTCCGGCTACAGGTGCGCTTACAGCTTTGGATCGCAGGTTGCATGTCCTAGCCTCGTTTCCATGGCCTTTCTGCAATCTTGGCGGGCCCAAGACATGGGAAACCACCACTACTTCTGCCCCTTTCCTGTCCTGAAGTGCAAGGATGCTAAAACCGCATGTATCATTGAAGGTGCTGGTCGAAGTGGTGCTGGAAACGGTAGAGGTCGTGCGCGTAACTGTCGCGCTGGTACCCGTGCCGGTGATGGTTCCTGAGCTGCACGCGGCCAAGAAACGCTTGCGGAGTTTGGGCGCAAGGCTAGGGCTCCCCATGACACCAGACACTGAACTTGTAGCCCCGTGGCACAAAGAAACGACAAAAGTCATAGTGAGGTCGTGAGAAGAAGAAAGAACGCAGCATATTAAGCATCGAAGCTATTGAAGGTCAAATAGGAAGTAGGACTGCGAATGACTTCTCGAGCGTGTTGAGCAAAGCGGGCTTGGTGATCTTCAATATGAGCTGTTTGGTTTCAAGATGGAACACCCGAGCCAGGAGTCTCGTGGTGCCTGTTGTGGATGAAGTAGTTGTCGATGAGCTCAGTGTCATCGTTGTAATGCTGGTGGTAGTGGGCCTCAGATCGACTCCAGTCGTAAAGAACAGTCCAAGATGTCCAAGATGGGAGCAGCCCACGGGGCCCACAACACGTTCCGGCTCACTTCTAGCCCCTTGTGTCCTGCTGCCAAAGCCTGCAATGCAGCTGCATACAAGCAAGGCCATGACGTGGTGGAGGTCTCCGTAGTCGTCACTGCAGTAACAGTGCTTGATGTTAAAGTTTGCGACGTGCTGGTGACCTCAGCGGAACTAGCGAACGTCCTTGAGAGTAACACTAGCTCAATCGCAAAGCTGATGTCCTCCACATACAAGCGTGCTCAACATTGTTCAACAATCAAGTCGCTGAAGTGGTGCTTTCCGTTAAGGTCGTTGTGGTTCCGGTCGTCCCCAGAAATGTTGTTGAGGTCGTGGTAGTGTTGGTGAATGTTGTCGTTGTAGTGCCTGCCAGGACAGCCCTCCAAATCAAGCAGGCACCACTGGCAGTCACGGAAACAAGCCAAAAGGCGGGTCGTTTGTGTGGAGGAAGATGACGTGGCTGTGCTCGAGGTCGACGTGAGGGAGGTCAGTGTTGTGGAAGCAGTGCCTGCAGCACGGCACTACTGCGAAAACTTTGATATGACACAAGTTACAACACTAGCAGAGTGGCTTGAACGACTGGTGGACGACGTTGTAGCTGTCGTGGTTGAACTCCTGCATACTTATGCTGTCATGTTTCATTCAATTCTTCGCACGGGTGTTGCAGAGAGGCTTGATGCATGACCAGCTTCTGGTACTGAACACCGGTCGCGGATACATTCATCAAGTGCTGCAGTTACTATGAAGACACTTCATGCTTACTTGCTGAAGGCCCAGACTGGCAAAAGCATAGCAGCCTTCAGATGTTATCACATGTTGGCTTTGCAACAAACTGCCTGGTGCTTGTAACAGTGGTTTGGGTTGTCGAAAGAGTGGAGGTCGACGACCGGCTCGTCGTTGTTTGCGTGCGGCTGGTGACCGTCAAGGAGGCCTGTGCACTGAGGTCCCCCCACACCACCCCTTACCATTCTTAGTTTTCCGATCATGGCTACTCTTACAACTGCAACTGTTATGTAATTTATGTAGTATTCTGCCATCATTGCACTTCCCATTTACAGTACTTATTTATCTCAACAGCCGCAGAGATAATCATAATGATGATACTCACCAAGCAGATCGTTGCGAACATCATTGCAACACGGTTACAAGTAAGCAAATTGAAAGCACTGCTAGTAATTCTTTCACGAGATGAGAACGCCGTTCATAGGATAACATTTTTTTCATCCAACTTAGAAGTGCTAAGGCATGCTCAGGCAAACCCGACAAGGCGCGAAAATGCGTATGGCCAAAAGAAGCACAAACACAGACCTCCCTCAACGAAAACGAGGGTGGGGCGTGGGGGGGTGGGGTGGGGGTGTGGGGGGTGTGTGGGGGGGGGGGGGGGGGGGGGGGGGTAGGTGGGAGGTGGGAGGAAGTGATCAAGAAGTAACTATATCAATCTAATCACCTCGCAGGCTTCGCGGGCATAATCATGATAACAGGCCCAAGACTAACCTTAAAGAAAGAGCCATTGGCACTATCTGTGGAAATGGAAGCAAAGCAAAAAACATCATCAGCGTATCATGCTTGTGTGCAAAGACGCTTCACACGAAAGGAACCACGCCGATCCAAAAAAACGACAAAACACAAAGGACATGGGGGGGGCCCAAAAACTACTGACCACATACAAGGATACTGAGTACTGCAGAGCACGGAAACTCGTGGACTCGTGGAATGAACAATCACAAGACGGGGTGCTATTTACAGCCGCCGAACTTGTTCACCCACGCTTCATCAGAACAAGCAACATTGAAATGGAAACTTGCTGGACAAGCGGCACTGATGGTGGAAGACCTCCAGCAGCTGTGTACATACATTCCAGATGATTCGGCGTCGCCGCAATCGAAACGATACTCCCAAAGCTCAAAGCTTTGCAAAACAAAAAGCAACTTACAAATGATCCTAAGTCCAATTAGATCCCTTAAATAGCGCTAGAAAAGATAAGCTCAGTTGGGTAGGTTCCGGGTCCGCGACGTGCTCACTGAGGAAGTGGAGGATGTGGTCTGCGTCGTTGCTGTGGAACCTAAGGTAAAAGTGACAGCTTCATTAGACAGGTTATGACAAGTCTTTCGCAGCATCTACATGTTCTCATCGACATCATGGCATTTAGCTAACTGCCCAGACCAAAACAGTTGTGCATAAAGAGCCCCTGGCAGAACAACAAACACCTCCTGTTGAAGCCAACTTGAAACTTACGGATCACTTTTTTCTACCTCCATGTGACTATATGTGCTTGTGTCACCGCTCACAAACCGAATGCTGCTTGAAGGCTCGAGGATGTTGTGGATGACGACGTGGATATGCTTGTGGTCTTGGTTGTGGAGGACAATGTGGTTGTTGAGCCTCGCGCTCAAGGCAAATCCCAAGGCAAGGGCAGTCGGCGGGAACAGGACGCGCGGTTCAGACTTAAAAAACACGCCGTCCCATCAACACGTGTATCGAAAAGCTTGCGGCGAGTGCCGGACTGAAAGTAGTAGAGCTGGTGGTGGTTGTGCTGGTTGTGTCACCTCGAAGACAAGTTGACACCTCCACCTAATATAGGTGTGTCCCCAGCACAACGACAAGTCGTGCCTACTATGGTAGGTCAAAGGCTCTGGACTCCACGACTGCACATTTTCAGTGAACTACTTCGACGGCTCTGCTTTTCGGAAGCTGAAGAAACCAATAAACCATCTTGAGCCGAGAGCTTCCAATGCACTTACGATTTCCCCGCTCTGAGCAGCCGGCAAAACGGTGGCGCCTCAGACCCACAAAAACAGTTCATTGACATCAGCCCCTAGTCTACTGACCGGTGGCACTGTTGAGGACCGCGCGTAGTGTTCATCTACGGATCGGGCGCTACTTTTTAAAACATATGCAGCCACGCGTCCATGAAGCATTAGCTCATCTGACTTTCAACATCTCAGTTGTGCAACGTTCACCGAAGAAACCTGTCATCATCATCTTCATGTTATCCTATGGCCCTGGCTCTGTTGGTGCTGAAGACGCTCATCGGACCTCGGCCCGGGCTGGCGCACTGTTTTGCCGAAGAGGCCTCGCCACACGAACTATTCACCCATAGGCACCAGGCAGCGTGAGTAACTGCCGACCTCCATGCCGCTGATCTCCTGTGCCTCACAGCAGTGGCAATTATGGCGATTTCTGCCCTTTCTTTGTTTGCTTACACCTGCACTTGCCCTCAGTGTATCTTTTCATCGTTAAGAGCACACCAGATCCACGCAAGCAGCTCAGCATATTTGAGCAACTTGTGTTCAAGGAAGAGTCAACGGCTTGCAGGCCTTTGACCAAAATGGCGTAGCAGCATGGAGAAGCAGCCAGACCTGAGACAAAGCCACATTGCTTCGGCCTCAATTTGTTGAAGCAGCCGGAAAGGCTGGTGCATCCCTTTGTGAGAGCTGTGCTAGAGACCTGTGCTAGAGCCCTTTTGGCATCAAAGGCTACATCGCATCAGAATGCAGCCCAAGGCTGCCGCCGCAACCCACTTCAGCGCAGATCCTGTGCAAATGCGTGCAAAGAAAAATGTTCAGATTTGAACTTGTTCAGCCACTTTCTAAAGACGACTTCAACTTTCCAAGCGTTGGCTGTGCGTGGCCCATGCATTCCAAGCCGCACAGTCCTTCATTTAATCTGTACCTAGTCAACAGATATATACAGCAACAAACACACATGCCGATCGACACTCCACACATCTCCTTACACAACCAGCCAACACCAAGCCACGACAAGATCCGCGTCAAAAAGCTGGCATCCAAACCCGGCCCATGTCCGCAAACATGCCGGACACACGACCCATCTCCACATCAGTACTTCTGAAAGAAAATGAGGAAGTCGCCTTGGCCGATTATGCAGCATTGACACCAACATCCATGCCGAAGCTTTCAGGCAGATGTGTCAAGACAGAATGTCACTTGACCATATAGCCTGCACTCCGTGTCTAGTGCTGTCCGAAAACCCTGCTTTCACAAAGCCACATAAGGATTTGACTTGCGATCCATGTCGTTATCTGGTCCACCATGGCGCAAAGAAGAGACAAGCGTTGAAAGCCGGAACAGCATGCAACATAAATGGGGCTTCTGCAAATCGAAAACATGTTTTCTCATCTTACTTGGAAGCATGCGGCTAAGGGTTTCGAGCCTGACCCACACCATTCGCATGCAGCCACGCAAAGCAAGTTTCTGACAGAATATTGCTTTTGCAACCTACCATCAATCAAATATCTCACATGATTCTTGTCGTCAAGCGACGAACTTGCCGAATAATATTTGTGCGAAGAAGAAACGACGTATTCGGGATTCATGATGATTCTTCATGTGGTTCCGAACACAATCCTGGAGGGATTCAGCACCTTGTGGAATGTGGAACAAGACATGTCCGCACCCTCTGTCTCATGCTCGCGAAAAGGATTGCCAACAGGAGACCTCGGAGACCTGGGAGACCTGGGAGACCTGGCCTCCCACTCACCAACCACCACGGCATGATCGATAATCAAGCCAGTCTATGACATAATGTGCAAATTTCGGCTGCAACGCAAATTGGATTGCAACTCAAGACGGCTCGTCCCAAGCCGAGAACACTATAGCCCGGCTGTGCAGAATGGGTGTCTCTCGTTCTTCGCAATCCTTCAAATCTCTGCTACTTGCATGCGTTGGTTGTTCCTTTCATGCTGACAGGAAATCCCGTTTAAATTGGTGTCTTTGCCATTGCCGAGGTGACATATGTGCTTTTCTGAGATGCCACTGGGAGGCTTTTCGCACATTCTTGACATACGTGGGGCGGAAACTTCTGCTCGTACGGGCTGAGCTCCAACAACTTCTTTACCTCCGCTACATCCTCCAAAGACGTTGCACGGGACATTGCAGCGAACTGACTGTCCACCAGCAGAGTCTCCTTTTTGTGCATCCCATCTCACGCAGGCCGAATCTCCAGCCACCCCTTCCTTTTGAGGCCTAGACTTTGTTGAAACTCACAACTGAATCACAACGAACACCAGGACAAATGTCCTCAATGGTCTCGGAGACGCGGGCGTTCCTGCCACGGTCTCGCACGGCATGGTTTTCTTGGGCTCGCAATCTGTCGTCCAGAAAAGTGATCTGGCCATCTCTATCAAGGTCAAAGGCGACCGTTCCACCACCTCCTTCAGTCCGTCAGTTTCCTTATCACACGGGCAGATGGCCTCATCACTTTTTCCCGATGACCAAATCATCAACATAGCAAGTACCATAGGACCAGGTGAAGCACTCCTTTGGAATTCAAGACGCGCAACCTGCGCGTGGAGGGAGTTGAAACTGGGCTTGTCCATGCTGAGCAGGATAAACCACAAGCGCTTCCAGTTCAACACAACCGTATCTCCATTCTCAGGCACAAACACAAACCCTCGCAACAGCACTACTACGAAACACAACCGAATCTCCGGTTGCAGTCGCACGCTCAGTCTCAACTCGCTGCAATAATGTTTCCACGTGCACGAGTGCATGGTCGCGACGCTCGTGCTTGCCGAAATTCTACTCAGCTGGAGCTGCTGTCGGCAACCGTTCGCCGAATGCCTACCGAGGCTCGTCTGGTTCATCAGCATGACAAATGGTCTGCGAGATGGAAACGCAAAGGCAGGATTCGAGCCATTGGATGACCCGGCGCTGATGTAAATACATTGGGTTTGGGATTTCCGAGTCTCTGACGATGAAACGGCAGTGCGCGGACATTTGGGCATCCATTGCATTTTTGCGCAATCCAAAGATAGGCGTTATATCAACGCACATCCGAACCACACTTTGGGTTTCATTCGCATTGACAACGACAAAGGCAATAATTTCCCGCACGAAGGTCACGTGTGGGCCTTGGCTGCGAACACCACAGGCATTCACTTCCCCTTTTTCTAAGGACATTTTTGCCATTCAACTCTGTCCGGGAACAAAACCAGCATTCGCGTCTGAGCATGGCCTCCATTGCGGTGCCTTTGGCGTCATCAGGAGACCCTTGTGAGCTCCTCCTTCAAAGGCAGCCAACTTTGCTTGGGGCTCAGAATTAACGTGACTTGCCGCTGGCCTGTCACCGTAAGCTCACCACACTCACTCTCTTCTAGTCATTGGAAAGCAGCAGAGGCAGGTGGAGGTGGTAGTGGTAGTAGTAGTCGTAGTAGTAGTAGTAGTAGTAGTAGTAGTAGTAGTAGTAGTAGTAGTAGTAGTAGTAGTAGTAGTAGTAGTCGTCGTCGTCGTCGTCGTCGTCGTCGTCGCAGTCGTAGTCGTAGTCGTAGTCGTAGTCGTAGTCGAAGTCGAAGTCGAAGTCGTAGTCGTAGTCGTAGTCGTAGTCGTAGTCGTAGTCGTAGTCGTAGTCGTAGTCGTAGTCGTAGTCGTAGTCGTAGTCGTAGTCGTAGTAGTAGTAGTAGTAGTAGTAGTAGTAGTAGTAGTAGTAGTAGTAGTAGTAGTAGTAGTAGTAGTAGTAGTAGTAGTAGTATTAGTAGTAGTAGTAGTAATAATAGCCGCCACGGATCAGACGGCCGGGCACTTGCTTCTAGGTCAACCGGGCTTTGGGCGCAACTTCTGTCCTAGTGGCCCAACTGGTCCCCAGGGCAACGTAACTGCTTGTGCCTTACAGAGAGCCATGGATCGTCGGGAGCTCTGCGCTGTCTGATCTGCCGGGTCCCAATTCCCGGGCCTCCTGAACTCAGACATCGTAGTCAGCCATTCAGGAGGTAGGCGAGAGGTGTTTCCACTGCTCCGCGAGGTGGAAGGAGTACTCACGATAAGCTATCTCAGTATCGCTCGGCGTGGGGAAAAACTAGCGGATGGCGGTAATCGCCCGCAATGAGCAGAGCCCGCTCGCTCAGCGTTCAATAAAATAGTAGTAATAATAATAGTAGCAGTAGTAGTAATAATAGTAGTAGTAGTAGTAGTAATAGTAATAGTAGTAGTAATAGTAGTAGTAGTAGTAGTAGTAGTAGTAGTAGTAGTAGTCGTCGTCGTCGTCGTCGTAGGTTTTCCCCCCGTGGTGCGACGGACAAAACACACTTTTTAGGTCTTGTTTTTTCAAAAACGCGCGTTTCGCTTGGGTTTTTGACAGTGACTTTTGAAAATGTGCACCACCGCACTGTAGAAGTGTCGTTTTCAAAGCTATTATAAAAAATCGCGTTTTCGACGACAAAACGCTGTAAAGACCAGCCTTCGCGCTCGATAATTCTTGCAAATTTAGGCTTTTTTGTGTCTGCAAAAAAAACACTGATTTTCAGCCTCGATTTTGCCGATCGCGTTTTTGTCCTTTTTTGTCTTCTGCGGCCGGAAATGCTGTAAATACCAGCATATCTGCTGTTGCAGTCGCCGAAAAAGCTATAAAAACCAACACTTTCGTGCTTGATGAAGAGGACAGGCGCACCATGCCGAGCAATTTTACTGCGCGACGCACCCTATCTTTTGCGGGGTGGGGGTGGGGTGGGGGGGTGGGGGGGGGCGTAATTACGTTTGTTGCCCGTGCGTGCGAAAGGTCAGAGCATCCATGTCCGCACCATCATACTGTCCGCGTCACCAGCGCGTGCGAACGGCCACAGAATCTATGTCCGCGCCATGATAACGTCCGTTTTACCAGTGCGTGCAAAAGGCCAGAGCATCCATGTCCGCACCATTGGACCCAGCGTATCTGCTGTTACATTCGCCGAAATGGCTGCAAACTCCAGCATTTTCGTGCTCGATGAAGAGGACAGGCGCACCATGCAAGCGCAAATTTACCGCGCGACGCATCTTATCTTTTTTGAGGGGGGGGAAATACGTTTCAGGCAGGCGAACTTTGTGTGTTACCTGCATGCGAACAAGTAGTAGTAGTAGTAGTAGTAGTAGTAGTAGTAGTAGTAGTAGTAGTAGTAGTAGTAGTAGTAGTAGTAGTAGTAGTAGTAGTAGTAGTAATAGTAGTAGTAGTAGTAGTAGTAGTAGAAGCAGTAGTAGTAGCAGTAGTAGTAGTAGTAGTAATAGTTTAAGTAAAAGAAGAAGTAGTAGTAGTAGTAGTAGTAGTAGTAGTAGCAGTAGTACTAGTAGTAGTCGTAGTAATAGTACTAATAATAATAAAAGTAATAGTAACAGTAACAATAATATAATAACAATAAAAGTAGTAGTAGTAGTAGTAGTAGTAGTAGTAGTAGTAGTAGTAGTAGTACTGTAATAGTAATAGAAGAAGTAGTAGTAGTAGTAGTAGTAGTAGTAGCAGTAGTAGTAGGAGGAGTAGTAATAATAATAATAGTAACGGTAGTAGTAGTAGTAGTAGTAGCAGTAGCAGCAATAGTAATAGAAGTAGTGGTAGTAGGTCGTAGTCGTAGTCGTAGTCGTAGTCGCAGTCGTAGTCGTAATCGTAGTAGTAGTAGTAGTAGTAGTAGTAGTAGTAGTAGTAGTAGTAGTAGTAGTAGTCGTCGTAGCACTCCGGCTCAGACTGGTCTCAGCAGAGGGACCCCAAATTTTTTCTTTAGCAGTGATCGCATTCATGCTATGGAACTGTCAGCATGTGACACAAACCCTGTGTGCGAAGCTACTTGCACCACTGAGGCACCTGTTGCTACTGACATTGGTAACTGCATGGTTGATCCACCATCCGATGTGCCTGACGCTCTCAGACTGTGGCTGTGCACCATGCAGAGCCCCTGCCGCACGGCCCCACACTAAGATTCATGGCCTTAACAAGTGCGAGGATTGGACTTGCAACCGATCAGAGCATGACATACAGTGCACCCAGCAGGAAGCCTGGGCCGTGTTGGTTGGAAATCGCAAGCCCAAGTCCAAACGCAATTGTGTGCACTCTGCAGCAATCTGGCGCGACTGT